CTTAACCCCTGTACCACGCGGCTGGCCCCTAGACTTTTTTCTTACTCCAGGATGCTTGATCCAAAAGTTTCAATCAAAAAAGAAAAGAGAGACATAAATTTGGAGAAAATATTTAAATGTATCACAAGTTTGATACATGAATTTATAGCATGTTATTCCCAAAATTAGTGGGAAAGGGTATGATATATTTACAGAGACTCATATTAAAGCCATGCTAAAAAATGTTATTCAAAATAGAGTAAAGTGAAAAATCTCAACACAAACTCATGGCCTATTACAAAAAAAGATAATATTTTTGCGCTTTCTCACTAAAGTAGTTAGACCCTTCTGTCATCCTGCTTTTCACCAGTGATTATGAGAAGCAACATAATCTTCACTATGATCACTCTATTCACCCATATTTTGGTGTCTAAATCTGTCCTTTGGCGGACAACTCATTCTAAATTTGTGAAATAAAAAAGTAAGGTGGGTCCAGAATATTTTCTTGGGTGGAAGCAAAGCTTTCTGAGCATGATGCTAAAGGAGCCAATTCTGAGTTAAACGGTTTACATTCTGAACAACAATAACAACAAATATGGTTACCATCGAGCGAAACAAGCTTGATCTATAAAGGCTATAAATATTTAACGATGCTTGAGAGGGACCAATTATATAAAACGTGGGAGAGAAAAGTCATGCATACTAACAATAGCCAGTTGCTTACTGGATTATCAAAGAGAGCTGTGTGTAGCGGGTGGTGCCTGGATGTGTGACCATCATGAGAGTCAGCAAGCCGACTGGAGTGAGTTTTGATCACAGTCCTTAACAAGGACCACCGAGATACAGAGGTATCAGGTCAGGTTACTGTGGTTCACTGCAGAGAAGTGGGCTTCCTAGGAGCTGGACAGCTGAAATAAAGACATTAGTGGAGGTTTCCGGGAGCAAAGTCTCCCTTATTCCTTTATATAGAAAAAAGGGGTGGTGCAATTAACGCTGTTTGACTCAAGAAAGGCTCTATCAGATTTCTGCAATATTTTCAACTAAGGCTTATTTGATTATTTGAGGCTAAGTTGATTATTTGAATTCTTCCTGAAAGTGAAGTATAAAAGGATTGTGGCTTAGCAAAAAAAAATGAGATTTTCAGGAGTGGCAAGACTTCGCTTTCCAAAGACAGTGCACTGTCTTCTGAGTGACCCCCTATAATGAACTCTGCAGCCAGGGCGAACTGACTGAGATGGACTGCTTTCATCCTGCTCTGAGGGACCCCAGGCTGTCCAGTCATTTTCAGCATATTTGACCAAATAAATAGGAATTTTAGTGCGATTTTGGAGTGACTGCTCTTGTGGTCTCTTCTGAGGAAGAATAGCTTACCTGAAAGGGTAAACATTTTTCTCTCTCTTCTTAACCTTGTATAAATAATCTCCATCAAGATATCATGATTTAATCTACATTGTCATCTTTTTTCCATTTACTGTACCTAAAAGTTTCTTATTACATTAAGATTAGATTAAGTTACAGCTTATTTTTTTTTCACTTCTTCATTACTGGGACATTTATCCTCAAAACCATTTATATGTACAATTAAACGATCTGTCTGTCAGAACAGTAGTGCCATTTTTAGAGTAATAATTTATAGTGAATTAGCTTTTAAAAAGCATTTAATTTTCATTTCAATTAGGTACATTATAGTTTTTCTGCACATTATTTTTTCCCCTATATTAACGGGCCCATTCTGTCACATTATAGATCTTTCTTGTATAATTTCTAAAATAGGATCCAGGTTTGAGGGTCTGGCTATTTAACTCTGAAACAAAATTACTCATCTTTCTAAAGCTAAGAAAATTGGCTGCTGTAATTATCTAATAAGACAAAAGAAAGGTATGGTATTAATTTCCAGATTCAATCATAAATCATTGCTTAAAGAAGTATTTAGAAGGTGAAACAGATTTATCTAATGCTCAGTCATGTCATTTTCCAGCAGATAGATCTTCGCATTTTAATTTCCAAGCAGAGTTTCTTTCTCCCAAATTAAACTCCACCTTTGGACAGATGGGTCTTTGCCCTGGAGCACAATTGATCACAGCAAATGCTCAGTAGAGGAGTCATGTTGTAAATCAAAGTGTTTATTACCTTACTCAGATAACGGGCATGGTACTCAACTGAATTCATGATACTCTTAGCTTCAGTTTCAGACTTTCACCATCTTATTAATAGAAATTATTTCATTCTCTATTAGCTGTATAACATAAACTTTGCAGATAGCTTCAAAAGTGTAAATATTTGTTGCCTTTTTTAATACACATTATGATGGAGCATCTTGAGGCAAGAAAATTTCATAAGTTGCTATAGGTGACCCAGTCACAACAACGATATTTGATTATAACAATTTATTTCATTAAAAACTATTGTTTTCTTTTGCGTAGATACAGATGAAACTTTATCTTACATTCTTGTGTGTAACAGATTAGCAATTCTATTCCTTTTCTGCCTTCTGTTTGCACTTTCATTTTCAAGGCCTAATTATGTGTTTAGTAAAGGCTTTCCACCAATATAAGTGAAGAGTATATGACTTTTTAATCATAATACCTAGGATAAAATAGTTTACAATAATATAAAAATGAGACGTAGGTGTGTAAGTTTGCTACTTATTCTCCTGCGTTGGGATCAGTCAAGATATTTAACTTGAGATATGCATAAATTCACCATTAAATAAAATTAGCTTATTATTATTTATTTTTGCTGTCTTTTAAAAAAATTATGCCTTCTTTTTTTTTTGGAGTAAGATTAGCTCTGAGCTAACATCTGCTGCCAATCCTCCTCTTTTTGCTGAGGAAGACTGGCCCTGAGCTAACATCCATGCCCACCTTCCTCTACTTTATATGTGGGACGCCTACCACAGCATGGCTTTTGCCAAGTGGTGCCATGTCCACACCCGGGATCCGAACCAGCGAACCCCGGGCCACCGAAACGGAACATGCAAACTTAACCGTTGAGCCACTGGGCTGGCCCCCCTAAATTATTCCTTTTTAACGTCAAGAACAAATATCATTTATTTTATTTTCCTTTTCAGTCTCCTCACAATGCCTAGCATCTATATCCGTAAGTATGACTGATGCAATTATAAAGCATAGATGTGAACAGTTGTTTAAAAGTGTAGGACACGTGTCATTTCAAAAAGCACGATTAAACCTAGCTGCCCTGCAGATGTCTCACTCGACTCCTGATATTTCATGCAAATGCTCTGAGTGAAGACAAATACCCAGAGTACACCCACAGGAGGCTCCCTCTTCATAGTCTCTAACAGGAAACAGAGACTTTTAATTAGATACGGAATTTTTTTTAGCTAAAAAGACAAAATAGTCTTCCTGAGATGAAGCTAAATGATATAATCTTATCAATCACCGAAATTTTTAGTGGTTGTGTGTCTAATACAAAGACAACCATCAGCTTTTTAGTCTACTTAAACTTTTATTTAAATCCAAGAAAAAAACCCATAAAACTTTGGAAAAATATTATGTTATCTATCTATTTCTATATAACGTAAATAAATATTTTCTTTGATCTGTAAGCTGCCTTAAAATTGGCAATTAAAATGATGAAACAGGAAAAGGATATGAATGGATAATTCACCAAAGATATAAAATTACCCACAAAATAAATGAGAAAATATTTCATATGCAGATAAATAAGTAGGCAGAAATCAAAGTATAGATGATTTTTTAAACTACTAGATCTTTGTGGCCTTTTTTTTTTTTGTCATTTAGTCATATTGACCCAGCAAAGTGTGTTCAGTCAACCAAAATTCATACAGTTGATGAGTATGCAAATTTGTACAAATCTTTTTTTTTCTCTTTTTCTCCCCAAATCCCCCCAGTACATACTTGTATATTCTAGTTGTGGGTCCTTCTAGTTGTGGCATGTGGGACGCTGCCTCAGCATGGCCTGATGGGCTGTGCCATGTCTGTGCCCAGGATCTGAACCAGCGAACCCTGGGCCAGTGAAGTGGAGTGTGCAAACTTAACCACTCCGCCACGGGGCCAGCCCCCTGTACAAACTTTTGAAGGGAAATTTGCGATTTTACATAAAAACTTTTAAAGTTTTGTATATGGTTTGTAAAACAATTTTCACATTTAGTGATTTATCTTTAAAATTTAATTAGGGATATTTGCAAAGTTGTAACTACAAGGATGTCCTTAAAGTATTGGAAGCATTTTAAATAGCCTAAAAGTGGAGAGTGGTTAATTACATTATTATGTATCTAATCTACAGCTAATAAAACAGTGCAATAGAAGTATATGTAATATTAGTGTAAATATTCATGATATAAAATAAAATATTGGGGGGTCCCCCCAGTGGTGCAGCAGTTAGGTTTGCAGGTTCCACTTTGGTGGCCCGGAGTTTGCTGGTTGGATCCTGAGTGCAGACATGGTACTGCTTGTCAGGCCATGCTGTGGCAGGCGTCCTATGTATAAAGTAGAGGAAGATGGGCACAGATGTTAGCTCAGGGCCAGTCTTCCTCAGCAAAAAGAGGAGGATTGGCAGCAGATGTTAGTTCAGGGCTAATCTTCCTCAAAAAAATAAAAAAATAAATAAAATAAAATAAAATATTGTTACTAGCCATTATATTATATCATTCCATTTTTATATAATGAAAACTCCTGTCTCGGTCTCCATTTTTAACTAGACACACACACACATGCACACACCCCTGACAGGACTTAATCTAAAATGTTAATAGTGACAACATTATTGAGTCATTATAAATAGCGATTTTGATTTCCTTTTTTTTGCTCATTTATATTTTCTAAAATTTCTTTATTATTTATCTATGTCATAGGATAATATTTTGAGACATTAAAAAGATGCTTCCTGTAAAATTTCCTTGTTATCAGTTATCCACCCCCACCATTCATACATCAATAACTTTTTCTATAGACTAACATCAGAGAAGAACAAAAGCAATGAGTTAAACATTCTGAATGCACTTTTAAAAACTGATGGCGGAAACAATAAAGCAAAGCTTTCATTTTCAAGATCCAGGCTTTACTGAGAAAGAAAACACAAAACAAAAGAAAAAACAACACCCAGAAAAACAGTTTATGTATTCCCAAAGACTAGAGGATCTTGTGGTTAGATCAATTTAAAAACGGCTCCAATTCTGCATTCTTCCCTCTATACGTGCTCTTTTCATTGAGACGTTGCAGCTTCTTCCATCAAGAGGCCATCTTTGTGACTTGCTTTGGCCAAGAGAATGCAGCAGAAGTGGCATATGAGAATTCTGAACCTTCGCCTCAAGAGGCCACACGTACTTATCTCTCTTGGACTCCTGTTTCTTCCATACAACAAGCCAGGTTAGCCTCCTAGAGGATGAGAGATTACCTAGAGCAGGGTGAAGTCATCACGGACGGCTGGCCTGCTGCTGACCCACCAGTTGATCACGGATGCATGAACAAGCCCAGTCTAAATCAGCTAAGTCAAAACTGGAAAAAAAATTAGCTGAGCCACACCCTGACTGGCAGAAGCCACCATGGACCCATAGTCAAAAACAAACGTGTTTTGTCTTGTGTTACTGATGTTTTGCTCTTGTTTATTATGTAGCACTATATTGACAATAGTTAACCAATATAAATTTAGAGCATTAAATTTATAATATATGTTATAGAGTAAAGAAGAACATAAGGCATGCGACCATGAGTTTTCACAGTATTGAGGTAATTACATGGTACTAGGAAGATCTAGAACATATAATTAGACCTTAAATGCTAGCAGGTACCAGGAGTTGACCAAGACCAAGGAAACTAGGTGAAACACTCTAGATAGGTTTAAGACAGAAACCAAGAACCACAGACACTTGTATCTTGCTACCTAGAGAGTGGTCCAGCTAGACTAAAAGCTTCTTAGAGAAGCCTCTTATCTAACATAGTGCTTGAGTGGTAGAATAGTAAAGTCTGCCACAGAACAGCTTCCCAGTGTCCTACTCATCCCAGATTAGTACAGAAGAGCATCCAAAATGTTCTCATTGTCCATTGAGAGGGATACTGGTATGGCCAAGATAGTGGGCCAGAGCTCAAAGGAGCCTACAGGGTGAACCCCATAACCAAGGCTGTGTCAGTCAGGTCCAACTAGGTTATGCTGAGTAACAAATAATCCCCAAAGCTCTGCAGCTTAAAACAGTAAGATTTAATTCTCGCGAATCAGGTCCCTTGCAGTGTGAAGAGGGGCTGGGAGGAGGGAGTCTGTTCATTGTAGTTACTCAGGGAACTAGAATGATGTTTGCTCCCAGGTGTTATGACTCTTCTTTGTCAACACATGCATTTATGACTTCTGGATCACGACAAAGAAAGTGGTTAAACAAGTGCCAACCAGGAAACGTTTCCACCCAGAAGGGACGTGCAGCATTTTTCCCTTTATTTGTCTGAATTTGGAGCAGAAGGAAAAGAAACATGGTGATATATGGTGAAAGAGAGAAAAGGCAGAACATCTGGAAATAGAGATATAATCTACCATGGCAGGAAGGGGCAGATAGATTCAGGTTCCACAGGACCAGAAGTTAGTAGTGTAAGTTTAGGGGCTCTCTTTTAAATAAAAAGCATACAAAATATTTTAATTAATTGCTTACCTTCTACACATCTATAACGCTTTTCCCCTTTATTTTTGGCTACATATGCTTATTTGATAACAATTTTATAGTATCTTCTACAGGGAAAATAAAAAGATAATTTAGTCTTCTCGCATGACTGAAAATTTATTTTTATTGATAGTTTAGAATAATTTAATTAAGGTTGGCTTGTCATTCATGTAAAAATATCCTGTAATTTTTTTGGACTGTTGTCAAATGTAGGAAAACCTGTTATCAAATTTATTTGGTGTTGTAATGCCATTTGGCACAATGTATGACAAAGGGAGAGTCAAGCGTATGTCACTATAAACTAATACAGGCCTTGAAGCTTAAATTTCGTTGGCTTCACAGTCAATACTTCACTAATGGTGAGAAAATGTGTTCCTGCAAGAACTCAGACATCAAGGGGATTCAGCTATTGACGACCAACTGTAATGTCTCACAGAGGTCATGACAGCAATTATGGTCACCAGCAGAAGATGTCAGAGCATTATACTGAAAGTCAAGTTTAGACAAGCTGAAGGTCACCGTTGGACAAGGAAGCCAGTGTGCAACATTCAAGAACAGAACGACCAGATGCAACCTCAGATGATAGCATGCAGACTCAGTGTCCACTGCCTTTGATTACCTGCAGGAGAGCAAAACAGAAGGGGTGACAGGGTGGGCATAATCTTGAATAGCCCAGATCTGAATCCTCAGTTGATCCAATTTAAACCAGAAATGAATAAGATACTTCAAATTACAAAGTCCAAGGTTTCTATCATTAGTAAAGGGAAGGCTGCCAACCTAAGATCGGTTCTGGAGATTTAAATAAAGTAATATTTTTGTAATTTCAAGTTGTTGTCTTAATTTTTAATCCACTGTTTTATCAGGTAGTAATTTAGAAAAGAATGGTTGAAAGCTATCTTTGGTTTGTTATCACTTTTTTTATTGAAGAGAGACAGATATAAAGAGAAAATATTATAATATCAAGTTTTTAGATAATGAAGACAGGAAAAATAAAATTGCAGGATAGAAACAGAGGCTTTGAAAATCCGGAGTCCCCACTCCGAACTGTGAAGAACACAGAGTAGAAGCCAGGAGGTGAGAATCATTCTTGCTCAGAATTGAGTCGTGGGATTCCTCTGGGGGTCATTACCTCAGCTGTGGCCCAGTTAACTAGCTGCCTTTTGAAGGGAACTATAGCTCAGGGCCTCTGGTTCACTCTAGAATGCTGACATTCGGAGCTTTTAAAGAAGTGCTTTGCAATCTTTTTCACAGCCTGCTGAAGATAAAAACTACATCATATGGACCAGTGAGCGAACCTGGAGAAGTACGAGACCTGGCAAAACGTCTCTTACAGGTTCCTTATGTTTATAATTATGAGATCAATGAAATCACAGCACAAGGGAACATATTAAATATTAAATTTGTGTGATTCCAAAAATTCTTTTCGGAAATTCTAATGAGAAACTCGAAGTTTCATCCGCAAACAACGTTCCTGATGAGCAACATCTAACGATGATCTTTTTAAATGTTCGATGGTCACCATCAATGCCAAACACTGTCTCCATAAATAGGTGATGAAAATCCTAAATCATTTTTTACAACTCTTTAAAATTTTACTATGATTAAAATTATATTTAAGCAATTTAATACTCTTCTTCTTTAAAAAAATTGATCAATGTAATTGTGATGTTTCCTGGGAACATACGAATACATTTTCAGTCAAGTTGAATTTTTCGTATTAAGTGTTTCAAAAGAAAGATGAAACCATCAATTGCACAAAGTGCATGCAATTTTAGAGCAGTCACTGTGCAGCCAGCACAGGCTCCTCTAAAAGGGGACATCAGACACATCAGAGTATCAGACGCGTGAAAAGATGAGAGTCCAGAGCCTGCGAGGAACTCCTGCCGTTCCTTCTCATCCTGTCTTCCTGCTCCACCCTGGTCTGAATGGCCACCCCTGTGTGCTCCTTCCACAGCTCCACGGGCCCTTTGTCCCCTCAAGCAATGACATTCCCTACACTGTTTACTGTGGCAGATGACCAGCCTGTGAAGTACTGCCTGGATAGGCACAGCCCATCCGGGTGGACCAGCCAAGGGCTGGTGGTTCTGAGGCAGTTATTGATGTAAGTTCCTTGGGAAATACCATCGGACCCTGCTCTGGTCAGGCAGCTTTCATGAGCCACAGATAAGGCTGTTGGGGCTACAGTCAGCCAGCCTTGGGGTTCTGGCAGTGGGGACCCCGCTATCCTGAAAACACTCTATAGAGAATCTCTAAAATGACTCGTTATACTTTGTAAAATTAATTACTGTGAAAGTATTCCTAATATCATGAAAAGCCAATTATACATCTTGTTCCTAGAAGCAGCTGACAATTAAGGTAATTATTTAATTGGTATGTGCGCGAGCCTTTCTCTACCTAAATGTGTGCCAAACACAGAGGAAACAAGAAATGTGAAATATGCTAAGAAGTTCATTTGGAATGCACCTTTTAAATTGATATCCCTTTTAAATCTAAAGTAGTCCCGCCTGACAATTTGGTTCCACTTTACTAGTCAGTATTTAGAAAACATTATGCTAGGCACAGTGAAGAGCAATAAAAGGAAAAGAGAAATATATGGTTCTCCCTTTCAACTCTCAACCAATTAATGAAGGAAAACAAATGGAGGTAAACAGACTAGTACAGGATGGAAACGTGGGCAGGCTTGAGGGGTGCTACCATCGCTAGCCCCCAACTGCCCCACCTCTGAGTTTCTCTGTTTTCTCCATCTCCATCCCCAGGAGCAGGAGCGAGCCAGCACCAGGAAAGACCCCACCCACCTGGGAGGAACTGTGAAGAATTTGAATGAGCCTTACAAAACCTTTGCTCTTGAAACACCTGAGCTCCACCTGAGCTGGAAATTCACGGCATGATATTAAGATAAAAAATTAGGAGCAGCACTATAATTCTTTTCCAGCCCATGACATGTTCAGAATGAAGCAGGTATTTAATGATATCTATAGAGATGAATCAAGTTTTCTAACAGAAAAAAACTCCAAGTGAGAGCATGAAAACATTAATTATACAACATAAGTGTCTCCAATATTGCTTCTGCTTGCACTGGAAAGAAAAAAAGCCATTATATATCATTCAAGTGAAGGGACTTTGTGTGTCTATTATAAGACTATATTCTATTTTCAGTCCCAAAATTGCCTATTTTATGAAAAATGGAGACTGGGGTCAGATCATTTAATGAGTATGTATTTAATGTATCCTGTGAAATGATTGCTTTAAGCGTTAACAGGTGTTTCTGAGCAAGTGTGAAGTAATGCTTGGTTCTACCTTTTCTCCTGGCTCCATTGCATATCTTCTCCATCTACTCACTTTTGTTCTGTTCCATGTACTGTCTGTCTGTTTCTCTCTATACATATACATATACACGTATGTACGTACACACACACACACACTCACTCACTCTCACCCAGGTGACTTTAAGATAAAACACAGCTCATGGAGCTGCCATCATTTCCAGCTTCTCAAATTAATACATTCTTCTCAAGCTTCTTAAAACAAGGTGGCTGACACTGTGGGGAAAATTCCAAGGACTCCTGAAAGGAGTGGGACCTGGTTGAGCCACTGGGTGGATCATCTCTTCCTCGTTGCATTTTGGTTATCTTTTGAATTGTTTTTCTACCAGGCAATGTAATATAGATTTGTAAATCAGTATAATACTTCCCTTAGGAATCTTTGATGTCATCATAACCATTTGATGAAAATAATTGTTTAAAGATGGAAAGTTTTCACTCATATTAAATTAACCATTCATAGGAATATATTTGATGTATTTCATGTTAATGTTTGTGCAAAGTTAAAAAATAGCAGCCAAATGAGTACTGAAACTCAGACCAGAATGGTATTTCAAAAGTGTGACTGCTGCAAAATTAGTATAGTTTTTTCCCCCAAAGCGAGAGTTAAGGTACAAGTGCCACTTTTGTATTTAAAATTTTTTTCATCATTTTTCACCTTGGAATTATCATAAGTATTATTTTCTTTTGTTTGACTTAATGACAGTGTATCCTCTTCAGTGTTAAGGATGTTCAAGGTTCTTTTTTATAATAATACAGAGAATTATTCAATATTGTGGAGTAAGGAAAATTGGTTGCTTTATCTGCAAACAGAATTCACAGGGACTAGTGTGCTCTACTGGTCACTGTGTTTTTGCCCTGAGATTTTTAAAAAAATAAGTAGTAGACTTTATTTTTTTAGTAGTTTTTGATGTGCATAAAAATTGAGCAGAAAGTACAGAGAGTTCCCATATAACTGCTCACAACCCTCCGACCCCCCAGTTTTCCCTAGTAACATCTTGCACTGGTGTGGTACACTTGTTACAATTGATGAGCCAATATTGATATATTGCTAACTAAAGTTCATAGTTTGACTCCAATCTTTGGGTTTTACATTCCATAGGTTTTGACAACTTTGTAATGACACGTATCCATGATTACAGGACACAGAATAGTTTCACTGCCCTGAGTTCCACTTATTTGTTGTTCCCTCCCTCCAACCACCCCTGGCAACCGTTGATCCCTTTACTGTCTCCATAGCTTTGCCTTTTCCAGAATGTCATATGGTTGGAATCACAGAGTATATAGTCTTTCCAGATTGGCTTCTTTCACTTAGTAATATGCATTTAAGCTTCCTCCACGTCTTTCCAGAGCTTGATAGCTCATCTTCTTTTAGCACTGAATAATATTCCATTGTTTGAATGTTCCACAGTTTATCCGTTCATCTACTGAAGGACACATTGGTTGCTTCTGAGTTTTGGCATTTATAAATAAAGTTGCTATAAACATCCATGTGCAGGTTTTTGTGTGGATATAAGTTTTGAACTCCTTTGAGTAAATAGCAAAGAGTATGATTGCTGGATCATATGGGGAGAGTATGTTTGGTTTTGTAAGAAACCACCAAACTGTCTTCCCAAGTGGCTTCACCATTTTGCATTCCCACCAACAATGAATGAGAGTTCCTGTTGCTCCAGGAAACGTTTGATTTCATGATGGTTTCATTTGGCACAAATGGAGTTTTTAGTGAGACATGAAAAATGACTAACAAAATTAAAAAGACTTGACTGTGAAAAATGAAATTACAAAATATTTGAATCTAAATATTTCAATATATAAATGTATGTAGATTCATGGCAATACTGGTCAAAGAGCTGATTTTATTTTGTGGATTATTACCTAAACATTTCATCTTCCGAGTCTTTCATTCATAGTATTATACATTTTCTATTTTTGCTGGTTGATTTGTCTCCTCATTCAGCATCACACTTTTTTTCACTAAAATGTCTTCCTTCATTAAGAGAGGTATCAGTTTTATCCAAATACTAGAATGCATATTTGTAACTGAATGGAAACTCTGTTAAACAAATGAAAACCATCTGTAACCAGATGATACCAAAACTGTCAATCAACCAGTTATTTTAGCTTTTGTGGCAAATTGCCTTTATGGAGAATTAGTTGTGCAGCAAAAACGTTTGCAGTGAATCTTCTTGCAGCAAGGATGCTTAAAAGCAAAATACCAGACACGAGTTTCAGTAACCCAGCTTTGCTCTTCTCCTTCAGTATTACATTGGCTATTTTAGTTCTTTCGCCTTTTCGTATA